GCTCTCCCGCCGCTCTTCCATTCTCTACATGCTGCCTCTGCCACTGTCTACTAACACGAAAGCATCCCATGCTATCTGTCCTCAAGATATTCATTTTGACTCACACGAGTCCTACAGGCGATCCACCAACTTGAATTCCCAACCACATACTCACCATCACCATTACGCGCACGAACTGATGGGGAGTTTCTCAAACTCCTAACCCTGATTCCTCAACCCATCAAACACTGTACCACTTCTTTTACCTTCTCGGAGGTCGTGCCCTCATTCTGGATTTGCGTACTCTTACCTTTGCGCGCTCTGAGGATTCTCCCCCACTTCGATCCTACTTAACCCTTGCTGCTCAATGCTCGAAAAGAAATCCCAATCCTCGCTACCATTCCATAATCAACCTGCTGAGGAACCCCAAGCTTACCATAGCTAGGGATCTAACCAGTCCATTTCTATAACTATACGGCTCCAAACTAATGAGACATACCAAGTCCCTTCCACGCATGCTACAGTTATTTCATCCTAAGCAACCTCCCTCAATAAGGCACATCCCCTAACTACCATTCAAATATCCAAGGTATGAAGATAGCATATAACTCGATCACAATCAAGCCGCTCAAAAATAAAATACTCATACCGATAATGATGCAGAACCATAACAACATAATCATGCACAAATCAAAGAACTGAAAACAGAAGTCGCATACCTGCAACGTCCGGTGCTGCTCGCGTCTCCAAGGTAGCCATCTGAAAAGCCCTGCCTCCTACCGTAGGCGCCTCTGCACGGCCCTGACGACCATCTGTGATCCTCAAAGTCGCAGGGGTAGGTGCCATCACCCTTCCTGCTGTAAACAAACTGGGGCACTGGCCCTTCTTGTGGCCTCACTGATTGCAGTGAAAACATATCAAGTCAGATCCCTGAGTTGTGGTAACAGTACAATCCATGCTAAAATGACCAGTCCAACCGTACTTGAAGCAGCCAGACTCACCACCGCTACCACTCCTGCACGCGCCCCCGTGCGCCCTGCCACACTTCCCGCATCGACTGCGGTCCTGATAATCCCTCGATCCCGAATCTGATCCCTTAGGCCTTTTGCCCGAACTCGCGGCTACCTGAACCTCATCCGGCTTCCTCTTCCGGATCTGCTCCAAATCAATTTCCCTCACCCTGGCCCGAGAAATCATATCTTCCAGCGTCTTACAGTCGGACCTACTCACGAACTCCCTGATGTCAGCCCTCAACATCTCGTGATATCGGGCCTTCTTCATCTCCTCATCTGCGACATACTGTGGTACAAGAAGAGCCCTCTCCCTGAACTTGATGGTGATCTCGGCCACAGTCTCAGTGGTCTGCATCAAATCCTGAAACTCCCGTGCCAACTACTGCACCTCAATAATTGGCGAAAACTCCGCCTTGAACCTGGCTGAAAAATCACCCCATGTCATCGCGTCCAACGCGACATCATCACCCAAAGCATGACCAATATCTTCCCACCAATCCCTAGTTCTGTCTTTTAGAAGACAGGAAGCGAGTCTGACCTTGTCCTCCTCAGGACACCGACTCGTACGGAACGCGTTGGCAACATCAGCCAACCATCTGCTGCTAGCGATGGGGTCCCTAGCCCCATGATAATCTGGTGCCCCGCAAGCCCTAAACTCCCGAAATGTTAAGGTACGTGCTCCCATCAATGCCATCATCTCAGTACGAAAGGATCCCAACCTCTCATCCAAAATCTCCAATATACCCTCCTTGACCGTGCCAAAGATCACATGAGTCTAATCTAGAATACTGCGCGTAACCTCGGCGGATATCAACTCCCTCATTCGCTCCTCGAGCTGCTCGGCCCTTAAACCCGAGCCTAATCCCTCTCTGGTGCCTGATCCGCCCACTGGTCTCTCTCGCAACGTCACCTTGCTGAAACATATGACACAACCAATATCAGAATACTCATCACTACTGCGAGACCAAACACACGCACTACCAGGTTCCCGATCTTGTCTCGGCCTTTCCCAAATCGAGTACGGATCCTCTGCTTTCAATAGTACGGGTCCATACTACCTTCCACATCTATCCGTACTTTCCTCAAGAACTGCTTCGACTCCACCATGTCCCTGTTCTACTACTACTGCACCCAACACTACCTCATCCTAGGCTTACCCTAGGGAAACCTCTGACTCAAACCAAAACCAGTCCTCAACTGCTGAGGGACTCCTTGTGATGCCAAAATAGCCATCACTTGAATACCATCACATGTGACGAGGCTCAGATAATCCTTCGAGTAAAAGACTCGTCCCTACAACGGTTAGACTCAAACGAGAGTTACGCAATAGGGACAAATCCAACACTCTGAGATTATTCAACCCTGGTCACATGTGACGTGACGTATTCACCTAATGGCTAACTCCCATCACTCAGAATCCCACAATGCACAAAGCTGGCGCGGTAGCGGCACATCATACACACACACTATTTCCGCATTCATGGGATTGTTCTGGGATTTATACTCTGGCATTTTGATGGATCACATGTTTTGGTTTTCAGACTTAGTAAATTGTAACATCCCAAAATTCAAGCCTAAAAATTTCATTTAATAAAACATTACTTAAAGCAAAGTCATCATTCCAAAACATAATCAGAGTATTAATTTTCAAAACACATGTTCGTTATTAGAGTAAACATTCCCAGGCTGTCTAATCTATGGTGTGTGCCATGCGATCACCCCGAGCTCTTCCCTCCGCTACCGGAAATACCTAAAACCGTAAGCACGAAGCTTAGTGAGTTCCCCACCCTACCACATACCATGCATAACCACATACTACACATACTGGGCCACACCGGCTATCTTGGGCCTCTCCCCCTGCCTCGGGCCTCGCCCGCTATAATGGCCCCGCCGCTCCAGGCCCCACCTGGCTTCGAACCCCGCTGGGATACATATCTGTTTCACTTAGGCCTCTCCTGTCACAGGGCCTCGCCCGCAATCAAATAATAACACATAAACATATCACAACACATAAGCTAAACTCATAAGATTGATCCTGTCCTAAGGCCTCGCCTATCCTGGGCCTCGCCCTTGTCCTGCTACTGATGAGTCATGGAACCCCGTCCTCGCTCCTACTGGTAGTGAGATACGGGCCTAGCCCACTCTCACTCCTTCCCTGACTTGGGATTCTCCCCTGTTCTGCTACTAATGAGATGTGGAGCACCATCCACACTCTTCTATTGGTGAGATACGGGACCTCGCCCACACTCACCTCCCTACCAGGCACATACATGTATCACACAGACAACAAGTATAAACTATCATATAAACAAATCCTTGGGCACCTACCCGCTATTAATGGACCTCGTCCTGAATATCATACTAGCATACTGCGCCTAGGGCTAACCCCCGGGCCTTCTACTCGTACTACATGGTCCGGCATTGTGGCCTTAGACCCATTCACACAAAGGGAAACTCACCTACACTGGCTGAACTTGCTGATGATCTCACTAGCTGCTGCTCGGCAACTCTCTGAACTCCTGCTCCCCTTGCTCCCCGAACTACCAATATCAATGCAACATTGAGTCTAACTGACCCCCGAGAGACAACCAAGTCAACTCTGGTCAAAGTCAAAGTCCTGGTCAAAGTCAACCTTCCAGGTCAACCCTACTCACCGAGTCACCCTATTGACTCGCCGAGTTTATATGTTCAGAGTCCTTCCATTCGCGTCTCGACTCGCCGAGTCAGTCCATGACTAGCTGAGTCTACCGATTTCCGAGTCACGACCTATCCATCTCACCAAGTCTCCACTCGACTCACTGATTCGAGTCTCAATTTGAAGGGTTTGGGGTTTCGCGACCTGACTCGCCGAGTCCAAGAGCATACTCGCCGAGTACAAGACAATCTTCATCTGACCCGACGAGCTGTTCATCCCACTCGTCGAGTTGCTCCTAATCTTCATGCTACTCGCCGAGTCCACTCAAAGGACTCGCCGAGTCCATTTAGATCTCCTTACATGCAGAGGACTTTTAAGTCATGCATGGACTCCAAACTGTAGATCTACCCTTCCCAAGACTATTCCTCACGTAAATTTGCAAACTTTACGTGTAGAGAAGGAGATCTAGGCAAAATACACCATAAACTAGGGTTTAAGGCAAAGAGGCTCCATAATCGACTCAAGGGCAGATACTTTATGCTTCTCAAGACCATAATATGCTTAGATCCGAAGTGGCAACTTCAGATCTGGCTTCTAACTCAAATGGATACCATTATGGCTAAAAAGCCCCAACACCCACACATAGATCTAGGTGAAAAAGAGTCCAAGAACTAGTTCATTACCTCCAAATGCTCAGAAATATCTTCCCAATCCCAGATCTATAGCCTCTTCTTGCACCTCCAAGCTCCCTCTTCCTTCTCCAAGCTTTAATGCACTCTTCAAGGCAACAATTGGCTCAAACAATGGATATGGCGGCTAGGGTTTGGTGTTCTGGGTTTGAGAGGCAGTAAAGGAACCCTAGGGAAGAGAATGAGGCGCTTAAATAGGCCCCAAGTCCCAAATTTAGGGTTTTCCTCGCACAAACCAGACTCGCCGAGTCCCCTTGGCTGACTCGCCGAGTCGGTCACTTACTCCTCGACCCGGATCCCGCTCGGACTCACCGAGTTCCTCCTTGGACTCGTCGAGTCACCCCTTAAAATTAGGGTTTTCTTGCCTTTCTTGGCCTTACAGACTTTGAGTGTTACATAAATGTTTATGAAATGGTTTGATCAAACTATGTTTATTTGCAAATGATTTTACTAAATATTGATTGAAAAATTAAAATTTTGGACGTGAAAAATGGATCGTTACATTTTCATGGCTATATTTGTAATTTGGATTTTTTTGGCTATTTTTCACAAACTAATTAATTAAGAAATATGGTTATATTTGTAATTTTTTTTTCCTTAAATAAATATAGGGAAAAAGAGAGTTATTTAGCCGAGGGACTAAAGGTAAAATTCTACAATAGTCTAAGGGGGTTATGTAATTCAATGATTCAATATTCCCGGAAAGAAAAGAGTAAATGAGCGCATACTCTTCAGCCTTCTCGTACAACCCAACCCGTCGAGCTCGCGGCCGCCGCCACCGCCTTCTGATCTTGCTTTTATCCGTTCAAATTTCTTTCAGGAGAAGCATAGTTCGAAGATATATCCGTAAAGCTCCCAGCTGTTTTAGCATCTTCTCAATCACCCAAAACGGTATATTACTATATTACATGCTTACTTATATGTACATACAATATCTTCATTGACCTCCAATTAGTTTACATTAAGTTAATTACTCTTCCGTTGACATTAGAACATCACATCTCTCTTAATTTCATAGGCGGTTTTCGTTTAGGGTTTTGTGCATGGACCACTGTAAATTTTGCTCGTTCTTTACCATTACACATATTTTGGTGCTTGTTGATTCACAAATCTTCTCAAGTTTCTGTATTTGTACTAGCTCTCACTGTCGATTTAAGTTTGTCTACATAATTACAATCGAAATTACATATTGAGTGATTATGCTTGTTCTTGTTCTAATTGTATCACGTCGCATTTACTTTGTTCAAGATGGGGGAAGTCATGCTAGGGATGCCAGGACTTTGGGCTGATGATAATTCTGAAGCAGCTGATCATTATACAACCAAAATCGGTGGAGTTCCAGTAAGTAAAATGAACAATGCAAATACATTAGTGTGATTCATGTGATACTACACTTTATGCTGCTATATAACAAGTCTACTGTCACCTTCTTTTGCAGGATTGGCCTTTTCTCCATTCGATTATAAAACCTGATCTTCTTAAGTGTGATTCATGTGGAGAGAAACTATGTCTTGTGGCTCAGGTTAATGTTAATTTCAAGTCATTGATTTTTATGATCTTAGATCTTTGAATGAAATTGAAGTGGTTTATAACTGTGCATTATTTGCTTTAATTCCCAGATTTATGCTCCTATTTCCAGCACAACAATGACAACAGAAGAGCGTGTTATTTACATATTTTCTTGCATTGCAACAGCTTGTGAAACCAAGAGGTAGTTTATACTTATACAGTTATACTGTTTTGTTAAGTAAATATTAAATAATGCACAAATCATAATTACTCAAAAATCTTTCTTCATATACAGATGGCGTGCTCTTCGTGTTCAGAGATCTTCCACTGATAAAGATTCAAACCCTTCATCCCATGATTCTGTTGCATCACCATCAACCACTAAGTTGCAAGATGATCCATGGGCATTCAATGATGAAGAAGAAGATGATGATGATGAAATAGATCTTGATGCCATATGTAAGGCCCTTAATGAAGCCACAACTTTAGCTTCAGCTTCCAAAACGAAAAAGCAGAATACTTTATCAGATTCAATTGAAAACCCCTCACCTATAAGCCTAAGTAGATCCATTGATGACAAGACACCAGGTATGACTATTTTCCAAGAAAAATGTTAATAATTTTATATTTTGGGTAAATAAAAGAATGGTTTTATCGGTTGCAGTGTTACCATGCTTTTATATATATCCTAAGGAGGAAAATTATTTAGAGGATGCTGCTGCTCTCAATAAGAGAGAATCTAAACATAAAATTGAAGAGAAGAAAGATGATGATAATGATGAGAAAGAATCATGGATAGGGGAAAGTTATGAGTATGATAGAACCCTACATGCTGACAAAACTTATCTTAAATTCAAGAAACGATTGGACGTGTATCCAGAGCATTGTTTCAGGTGTACTTAAATTGTTATGAAAGATGATGAAAAAGGTGTTTTTTTTATTTATTATTATTATAATTGTTGAGTTTTTGTGTGTGTGTGTGTGTAGATACTCATATGGTGGGAAGCCACTTTTGGCAACTTCAGAAGCAGGGGATCCTGGAAGATGTTTGTTGTGTGGTGAAATAAGGCACTATGAAATGCAGCTTATGCCTCCATTGTTATATTTTCTACAGGAAGCATCAAAGAATCAGTCATTGGAAAATTGGGATTGGACAAGTGTAATTGTGTATACTTGTTCTAAGGTAAGTTCACTTCATATACAAAGTTTCTTTCCTAAATTTTTATAGAAAAGGGAGATTGAAAAAAGGTTAAAAGCAAGAAATAGCATTTATGACATTAACCCTAAAAATGAAAGAAAGTAAGATGCCATAATATAAGCAAATGGTTGCTATTTCTTACATTGTGTTATTTTTGGTGAAGGGATGTGCACCTTCTTTGAAGCAGGAATGTAACGGGTGGATTGTGGCTGAAGAGGTCGTGGTCATACAAACAGAGTAGAAGTCAACATTTATGTTGACCATACCAAATCATTTGTTTGATAAATTTATATGAAAAATTGTCTCCTTTTGTATAGATAGTTGAAATTTTATATTGTTAACATTTCTCTACCATGTATTTTGCTTTTATTTTACCATTGACCTCATAATACTTAAACTTAAGACTTACCACATTCTCACTTATGAATTATATTGGGTATAAAAGTAAGATGCTAAAAATGAAAATGAACATCAAACCTTTGATAAAAAAATTCATCAAAGTAGGATACTAAATATAAACATTACACCTGGTATTACAAAAAAAGGTACAATGTAAACCAAACAACCTAATATTGCATTACAATTACTGGCCAATATTTAGGTCAACATTACACGCAATACAAGGTTTACTAGAAACACAACATCCATCATCATCATGATCATGATCACCATCATCATCATCAGAAGCAGAAAAATACATATATAGTCATAAACTACTCAAACTTTTTAATTAAAGACATATCATTCAGCATCTTCTCAATAGCCTCATCATCATGTCCACGTCCCCTCGACTGAAGAAAAAAACAATTTTACATTTCAAGACTATGCAATTTTTATTTTTATAGAGAAGGCTACTTAGAAGGAGGGAGTAAATGGTCATTTAGCATACAAAGGCAAGTAAGTACCTTGATAGATGGGACCATAGCAATAGCTTCCTCCACAGTTTCAGGGCAAAGATTTCCAAGAACACAAAGCTCAAATTCTGCTAATTGTTGTCTACTTAGCAATCTGAATATTGGTTAAGAAATATCAAAAGAATATGACAATATTAATTATTATGAACATGGTTTTAGATTGCAGTTATTATGGATACTCTCGAACTTGTCTAACAGCATCTGGATTCTTGTAACGACTGAATCGCTTCACATATTGCAGTGACTTCTCAAACACTCTGATCATGATCATCAACAGTAAAAGATTAATTCCACAAAGAAAATAGAGGTGAAAGAGGGAAATTTATACTCACTGAGAAACTTGATTCAATGGATCTTCGGACATCTGTTGAAGCTGTTCATATTTGTGTTCAAGAATCAAGGAGACTTCACAGTTCATTAGACACTTGGCCTTCAAAAACTCTGAAAATCCATATTTGGTTATCAATTTGTGTTCATAATACGATGGCAAGAAAGAAACAGATATAAATATTTGGGTTTACCATCGCCTATTTTCAGCTCTGCAGCATTTTCTTCTTCTTCTCCAGACATACTGAGAGATAGCTTAAGCCTGGAGATAAGATAAACAGCGATTATAATCTGCACTTCAGTTACTAAAATCACAATCTTGCTCATACACAGTGACGATGTCCGGATAGGGCTTGTAAGAGGGTTCGCTCTTTTTTGCAAAATTTTAGGTCATAAATCAACGAAATTTCACCCACTATAATCGATTTATGTATTTCGTCATACATACACATCGAAAGAGGGATAAACAGACGATTGAAGTACCTGTGTCAATGATCGATCCGATATCTAACCTGGAGAGGTCGCAACGAAAACGAAGAATGAAGGCCAAAGAAAAAGGGTTAATCCCTATTTATACAATTTAACCCTAACTTTATAAAATATTTTTATACTAGTTTATAACGACGGTTATAAAATTAATTAAATTTATATTAAAAATACAAAAAATTAATCAATTATTTTAAATAAATTATTACTTAAGAGTTATTTTTTAGTTATATAAAATAATAATCGTTGATTTAAATAAATACGTAAAGTTATATCACCTTATAATTTGTATTAAGTTTATTTTATTTTTTAATCTAATGTTATTAATTTAATATAGTTAGAGTGAACAATTTTAAGATTTAAAATGGATAATCAATTATTAATTTAATGTAATTAAAGTGATAAATTTAAAATTTGAAATTGATAATTAATAAATTGACAAATGGCGTGATAGGTAACATCTAATATTAATGAGGAGTTCAAATAGTATGATACTTGTCAATAGGAGAATAAACTTATTCATTTATTAGAATATGAAGATTTGACAAAACTTCAAAAATGGTCCCTGTGGTTTTCGAAAATATCAAGTTTAGTTTCTAAGTTCAAAAAACCTCACCTGTGGTTTCAAAACTTTTAACATTTGGTCCTTCCAACTCACTCCGTTACCATTTAGCCGTTAAATCAGGGGCATTTTTGTCATTTCATTACCTAGGGACCATTTATGAGGTTTTCTATTACTTTTTTTAAATAAATAAATAAATTTAATATGCAAGGGTCCCACCTCTCTCTCTCTCTCTCTCGTTTATGCCAGATAACCAAAAGCGTCAACTTCATCTTCATTTTATATCTGGTAACCAAAATCAAAACTTAGAAACTAAAAACCCAAGATCTGGAGGTGCTTAGATGGCTTGTACCTTGATTGGTATTCCCATGGAAAACCTCTGCCACTCCATCACCCAGCTATATGTAATTTCTAGCCATGGATCATCGTATGACCACTCCATCACTTCCTCTAATTTCGATCGAGAATTGATTTCTGGAACCATTTTGGAATTCGATCGAAAATTGATTTCCGAAACAACCGTCTCTCCGATCTACAACTCGATGAAGACGATGGTTGAGCTGCTCGTCTCTCTCCTTCTCCGGCGATGTTGTTCCACCTCTCTGATGGTGACGACGTTTAGATTTGTTCTTGCTTAATTATTAAAATCTAAAACTGAAAATCAAAATCGAAAAGCAACTGATTTGGGTTGTTCTTGCTTGATTTCTTTGTAAAAGAATATTGTAAGCGGCAGACGTTAGAGTCGAGTTTGGAGTTCGTTTTGATGGAAATTAGAGGATTTCACTTCAATTTTGATTTTGTTTCACGGAATCGACTTTCCAAATCAAGTTGATCTATTATTAACCTCCAATTACCAGGAGGAATTGGAGTGTTCAAACCACCATCATAGACTCACAGTGGGGGAAACTTTGAGATCAGTTTGCAAATCTTTTTTTGATTTTGCCTCCGAAATCTTCCTTCAGGTTGCAGTAGGGCTGATTTTTGCTGGTGGTTGGGCAGAATTAAGAGAACTACTTGTGTGTGGGCATATCTGCTTCAAATAAGTTATAGTGGTTGAATCATGGTTTCGTGGTGAGAGGAGGGACGGTGGTGAGACCTGTCTTATGGCTACTGATGGTTTGGGTATTGGATTTAGGTATTAAAACGAGAGAGAGAGAGAGAGAGAGAGAGAGAGAGAGAGAGAGGAGAGAGGGTGGGTCCCTTGCATATTAAATTTATTTATTTATTAAAAAAAGTAATAGAAAACCTCATAAATGGTTCCTGGGTAAAGAAATGACAAAAATGCCCCTGACTTAACAGCTAAATGGTAATGGAGTGAGCCGGAAGGACCAAATGTTAAAAATTTTGAAACCATAGGGACAATCTGTGAGGTTTTTTGAACTTAAGGACTAAACTTTATATTTTGTTCTTCATTTGTCATTATATTTTAGAAAACATTTCATTTTTGGACCATTAACCGGTCATCAGCAGGTAATGATGACGTATCGGTTTTGCATTTGTTATGTTTGCATTTAGCCCAAACATTTACGTATAAGTTTGCGTTTAACCCCAATATTTTTTTGTTCCCTATTTGATTGTTTTTTAGAAAAAATTTCATTTTAGTCATTGGCCGGTCACGAATAGGTTTTAAAACTTAATAACCTAAAATTAAAAAGGAAAAAACGGAGGTAAGAGTTGAAACTACAACTTTTCCTTGAGGGCGAGGCATGTTACCTAGTAAGCCAATGACTCTTTTTTTTATATCACTAGTGTTTGTTGTATTTAATCTACACATGTATTTTAAAATAAAGGAAAAATATCTAGCATAAATCTTAAGTCTGTAACATTTAATAAACAATATGATATGTTAATCTTTAAGCTAATCAAAATTGTTAATTCATTCGTAACTCATCTAAAACAATTGGTTATTTCTACCGACATATTTGTTGAGAAACCATATATTTTTAAAGAGTCGAAAATGTGCATTCTCTTTAAGGGACGGGGCGTGTTAGCTGGTAAGTTAATAGTTCTTTTTTTTGTATTATCAGTGTTTGTTATATTTAATTTAATGTACACATGTATTTTAAAATGAAGAAAAAAGACCTATTGTGCGTCTTAAGTCTGTGACATCTGATAAACAATATGATATGCTAATCTAAAATTGTTAATTCGTTTGTAACTCATCCAATAAAAACAATTGATTATTTCTAATGATATATTTATTAAGAAACCAAGCATTTCTAATGATATATTTGTTGGGAAACCAAATAAATGAAAATATCTATTAATAACTGGTCAAGGGTTAAAATGAAAGTTTTTCTAAAAAACAATGGTAAATGGGGAACTAAAAAAAGATTGGGGCTAAATGGAAACTTATATGTAAATGTTGGGGTTAAATGCAAACTGAGAAAAATGCAAAATCGACACGTCATCATGACCGGTCGAGGATCCGAAAATGAAATGTTTTCTAAAATATAATGGCAAATAAAAAATTAAAAATAAAGTTGGGTTAAATCAAAACAAAAATGTATAAATAATGGCTTTTAAGGTATTAAATAAAGAAAAACCCTTAGATATGTTATAAAACTAACGCCTGAAATTTGCATAAAAGCTTGTTAGAGAGTTTTAATCCCTGAACTATATTAACTTTGTATTTTTATTCCGAGTAAATAATAGTTTTAATCTTTTCTTTCCTTGAACTATTAGCTTTGTATTTCTAGTCCTTAGATAATATGGGTGACAACGATTTGGGGTCATGTTTAAATTAAGTAAGGTTAGAAAATTCCAGCTAGAGTGTTCTCGACCTATTATAAATTAATTGTGAGACTCATATATTATATGGGTTAATTATAAAAAATAATATAAAAGTTAAAATATTTAAGAACTTTGATTTTTATAAGAAAAAAAATAATAAATTATTATAATAGAATTGTTTTGATCTTTTAAATTTAAAAATAAATAAAAGAAACTAATAAATTTTAATTTTGAAAATTTTAAAATTAAAACGTAAATTCATTAATTAAATTGATATCTATTTATTACTATATTTGTTGCAATTATTATATTAAAATACTAGGTATGAGACTTGTAGCACCTGGTTTCCGGTATGTAAATTTTATTTGAGCATTGCCCTATTTTAGCCTTGGACTCGGCGAGTCATAAGGTCCGACTCGCCGAGTAAGG